CTCCCATGGGAACGCCATAGGGATTCTCTCCTGCCCCCCAGCAGGACACTGCTGGCCCTGCCCCAGGCACAGCTCTGGGAGCAGGAGCCCCAGGACAACCCCCAGCCCCCAGGACAGCCCTTGGAACACACACGGCCCTCCCAGCCCCATGGACAGGCCCACCCCAGGCCTCAGCCAAACACATCAGAACACCCGAAGTCCCCTCAGCCCCCAGGACAGCCCCTCCAGCCCATTCCCTGCTCTGCTCACATCGTAGAATGCATCACCAAGCCCTTGCTTCTGCAGCTGGTAGAGCGCAGGGTTGAGGAAGCCAAGGGGTGCCAGCCCCCGCTGCAGGCGCCGGTCATTGATCAGTGCCACCATGCCTGCCACCACCGGTGTGGACGCCTGCGTGGGCACAACCGCTCAGCCCAGGGCCCCGCCGTGCTGGAGGGCAGCAGGGGGTGAGCTCCTTACCGAGGTTCCCGACACCCAGGGCAGCGGGATGCGGTTTGTCACCACCCAGTAGTTGTCAGAGAGCGCAGCCAGGTCGGGGTATGCACGGCCACTGCTGTTGTAGTAGGAGCTGGGCGGCAGCTTCGAGGCTGAGTGCAGGAAATGCCCAACAGCAGCGGCCTGGAGATAGCACGGCCTGTGGGCATCCCCAGGGCCACTGTCCCCCCCGAGCCTAACCCTGCAGCCCCGTCTGCAGCCCCCAGCCTGGCGGCACTGGTGTCCCTCACCTGGTACTCGGGCATGGGGAAGACGTTGCTGAAGCCACCCCCGCTGATGTAATCCGTCACCTCCTCCGTCACCAGGAAGGGGTTCTTGAAGGACGTGCCACCCACGGTGGTGACGTAGGGGCTGGGGAAGCAGGGGGACACTGCCGGTGGGCACAAGGCTGCTTGGGCCTCAGCAGCCACCAACAGCCCCCTCTGCTACCACACCTTCACCCCACAGACCAAACCAATCCCGCAGCTGCACAGGCTGCAGCTCTGGGCTCTGTACGACTGCTGGTGAGGACCCTCAGGTGACCTTTCAGGAGCTCAGACCCCTCTGGGGCCGGGGCCGGCCGTGCCTCCGCAGGGCTGTGCTGACCCCTCGCACCCACCTGGAGGCCGGGAAGCTGGGCCGGAACGTGTGGTTCCCGCCATGCTCTCGCCGACAGCCAGCACCGTCATCACCTGCGACACAGGAACAGGTGACAGGTGAGCACGGCGCCCCAGGCACCCCCTCCCCAGCCCCACTCGGTGCTCGAGCTCAGCTGCACCTGAGGCAAACAGGATGGTGAGGCCGCGGGCCGCCGCCTTCATGAACTCGGTGTTGACACGCTCCATGTAGGCGTAGGACAGGCTGTCCTCGTCGTCCCCGTAGCTCACCGAGTGCACCCAGGGCAGCGCTGACATGTTGCTGAGCAGCAGCAGCCAGGCCAAGAAGGGCTCCTGGCTCTCGTGGCGCCCTGCAAGGACATCGGGGAAGGGACACGTGGGATAGCTCCTCCGACATCAGCGACAGTGGGAGACAGTGCGAGGAGCCCTGCCTCATCAGCACCAGCACCCTCCTTCGCAGTGCAGCTCCAAGTGCTCCTTCCTGTGGGCCATGGAGTCACAGCACATCCGGCCTGGAGCTCCGTGAGCTCATCCTGGGGCTCCTCACATTGACAGCACTGAGCTTCAGCTCAGCCCATGGGGTTGGCAAGACTGTCATCAGCCCAGGACAGGGGGCTACACTCACACCTCCTCTCTGAGACTCTGCCCCAGGGCTGCAGCCACATGGGCACCTGTGGGCCCAGCAGGGCCTCAGCTCCTCCTCTGGCAACAGGTCCCAGAAGACAAGCGCATGTGCCACCTCCACACATTCCACCTGCACCTGCCCAGGTCCCTCCCTGTTCCCAGCCCTCTCCACTGGGAGGGGAGCAGCGTCCCAGGCACACCTACTCACTCTCGGTCACCCATGTCACTCATCTGCATCCTTCCCATACCAGTAACTGTGTGAGGGCGGAGGGAAGGGCAGCACTCATCTGCTGTCACCGTCACCATCAGGGACAGGGCTGCTGTCCCTGTGGCACCCACCTGCTCAGCCAGTTCCCAGTCTGGGACAAGGACACTGCCCCTAGCACTGTGCCCTGTTTGTGTTTGTGTAGGCTGTTTGGCAATTTATTTTCCCAATTCCCTCACTCTCCCTCATCTGTTCCTCTGGAAGGCTCGTGGGTGGGAGCTCAGCTGCAGCAGAGCTGGAAAACCCCACGGGAGGAGGGCTGTGCCCTCCTTCATGGAGCTGAGTGGGGCAGCTGCTCTGTATGGTGCTAGCAACAGAAACCCTGCTTCAGGATACTCTGAAGATTGAAGGTATACAGAGTTCAAAGTCACCACACACAGCAGGAGTGATGTCCCTAGGAGCTGGGAATGCGGTGCCAGCTCTGACTTGGGGAGCACACAGGGTCCGCTCCCACAGCAGCTGGGGATGCACCTGGGCAGTACTACAGCCAGTTGTCTGCACAGCCCTGCAAGCTCTCCCCTCACTCCTCCCAGCACTCCCCTCCCTTGTTCCAGCCCCCTCCCTCAAACCTCCAAATGTTCCCTTCCCTGCTCCAGGCCCTCCCCTCCTCCCTCTGGGTGCTCTCCTTCCCCCTGCCCCTCGTGGCTCTTCCCCAGTACCTGCGTTGCTGAAGACCCAAGTGGAGACATTGGCGCCCGTGCTCATGATGTATTCTACATCCAGGCTGGCCTCCAGCCCGGCTTTGCCACGGCCCTGGTGCCCCACCACCCGGTCCACTTGCGTGCGGTGGGCAAAGCCGCTGCCAAAGAGCTGCATGAACTCAGCCAGGTCAGCTTGGTGGAAGTACTGCTCGAGAAACTGTGGGATACAGAGGGACAGGTTGTCTCCTCTCAAAAAAACAAGGTAACGCTTTGATCCTGACGTAGGAAATTGCCCAGCACAGGTCTGTGCTACACCAGGTGCTCCCAGCAGCCACTGAGGGACACCCAGCTGTCCCAAGACCCCCAGACCAGCACCAAACCCTTGGACTGCCCCGGTACACATGCCTCTGACAAGGCAGTGCTTACCTGTGCACAGGCCTGGCTGTTGTTGGGCAGCAGCCCCACATCCCCCCCTGTCATGTTGTATCTCTGGCGCAGGACAGCCGGTGTCACGCCCAGGTGGAACGATGCTCGTGCCAGCTTTGCGTCCTTCCTGGCCCTGGCTCTGCTAATTGCCTTGTGCTCCGTGGGGAACCGGTGCAACCCACCCACTGCAGCAGAGCCCAGTGGGATGGGAGAGGCTGTCAGGGCACAGAGCCCTGGGAGGGCAGGACAGAGCCCTTGGACTCCCCATCACTGCCCCCACTTCTACACGGGCAGGCCAACAGCAGGGCTTGGAGAGCCCAGCCCTGCAGCCCTGGCCCAGGGAAAGAGCCTCTTCAGCCTTCCCACAGCTGAGCCTTCCTCAGCCTTCCTGTGGCTCAGCCATAGCCTCAGCCTGGCACCCCCCACGCCGTTAATGGGACGGTCACTGGATCCCACGGAACGGGGATCTGCAGGAGGGAGGTTTGTCCCCCAGGAGCAGCAGCACCTGCGTTCCGCAGCCTCAGCTCCCCCAGGTGGGACGTACCGAAGTCCAGGTGCTCAGCGAGCTCTGCGGGGACAGAGTAGGGCAGCGGGGACCGCAGCAGGCTGCGCTGGCCCTGCACGTACCGGTGGAACTCGGCCCCAGGGAGCAGGTGCTCGGCCGCACTGCAACACAGGGACAGCCGCTGTGGGACGGGACAGCCCTGGGACACAGGGACAGCCACCGAAGGACAGGACAGGGCTGGGAGAGAGGGACAGCCACTACGGAGTGGGACTGGACTAGGACATAGGAACAGCCACCACAGGATGGGACAGCAGTGAGACACAGGGATAGCCACCACAGGGCCAGCAGAGCCAGTTCTGGCGCTCAGAGCTCACCTTGCAGGCAGGTAACACTCAAGAAAGTCAAGGGTGGTGACACTCCGGCAGTCCTCTACACCATGACCTTGCAGCCACTTCAGAACTGTCATCAGCGTGGCTGGGGAAGGCTGGACCAAGTCCCTCACCTGCTCCAGGGACAGGTACTGCCCTGGGAGGCAAACAGGGGTTACAGATCCCCTCACAGGCCCCGAGGGTCTCGGGCCTCAGGGACGTGGCCGTTACCGTATTGTGGGGACCGGGGGTCCGAGACAGCCTGGACCAGGCGGGCGAGACGGGCAGCGCCGCGCTGACGCAGGGCGAAGGTCAGCAGCACCGGCTGCCCGGGATCCACGCGGCCGGCGTGGGCCCAGCCGGGGGGCACGCTGCAGGGTGGGCGGTGAGCGGGGCCAGCACCGGCACCGCAGTCTGGCCCGGCCTGGCCCGGCCCCCGCCCCGCACCTACCGGAACGGCTGGTCCCGCTCCAGCTGCAGCGCGAGCCCCGGGGCGCAGCTCCAGGCGGCCGCACACAGCGCCAGCACGGCGGGGATCCCCCAACACCTGCAATGGGCTCAGGGGAGCACAGGCAATGGCACAGCCGCGGGCAACAGCACTGACCGCGGACCGAGCCCGAAGCCCGTCTGACTACCCCTCGCCCCGGGTCTGGGGAGCCCCCCGGAACTCGCCGAGACCCAGCACCGGGGAGCCTGTCTGACCCCGCTACCTGCCACTGGGGAGCCCGCCTGGCCCGCGAGCCCTCACCACCGAGGAACCCCGCCTGACCCCCCGGTCCCCGTCCCCACCGCCACCGGGAACCCCGTCGGACCCCCTGAGCCTCCATCACCCGGGAGCCCCGTCGGACCCCCTGAGCCTCCATCACCCGGGAGCCCCGTCGGACCCCATGGCCGCCGAGGCCGCCCCGGCCCCGTTACCGCCCCCCGGCGGGGTGTCCCGGTGTCCCGGGGTGTCCCGGTGTCCCGGCGCCCCGCTCCGTGCCGTTACCCCCGCGCCATGCCGCCCGGTCACGTGTGGCCGCGTGACTCCCGCCACGCGGAGACACCAAAACAGCGCTCACGTGACAGCGCTCACGTGACGGGTGGAGTACCGGGCTCGGCGCCGGGGGCGCTCCGGGCACGGTACCGGGGTACGGGCACGGTACCGGGGTACGGGCACGGGGCGGGATCTGGGCTCCGGGCACGGTACCG